TGGAAGGTGTCCCTGCCCGCCACAGGGATGGGCTTGAAGGTCCCTTCCAACCCAAACCATTCCATGACTTTATGCATAGAGGCATTAGGGATTGAGATTAGTAGCTGCGATGACTACTGAGGAAAAAGGCTGAGACACTGAAAAGACAAGTAGAAACCCATGAAACTCAATTTAACCTACAAGCCAGCGCCGGGTCAGTTGAAAACCTTACGCTGGAGCAGAGGCAGCAGCCTGTAGCTCCGTGTTAAAGTTCTTACACCCCCACCATCACCACCACGTGAGAGCTGATCACGAGGAGGACCGACACACACGGGCACTCTGCTCACTGACCTTCGGCGCTCCCTGGCTTCCTCAGCTGAGAAGTCCTTCCCTGGGGTTGAGGCAGCGCCGGCATTCGCAATACCGTTAGCAGAGCCGAGTACAGCACGGTTTGTGATTACACCTAGGGGGGTGCTAGCACAGATGCCCTCTGTATTTTTCTCTACAGCAGAATCAGTTTGTTGCCTGAAAGGGGCTCTGAAATAGAGAAGACATAATGGAAAGCAAAGCAAGTGAACTCAAGTGCTGACCCAGAGCAGCTGCCTCAAGGGGAGGGAGCACTGACAGCTCATCCTCCTCGCTCTAGACTCGTGGCTTTGCAGAGAACAGCACACAGTTAAATGAGTAGAGGAATAAACAGGAGGAATTCACAGTCTTCACATCCCTGTTTGTAGCAAAAATGATTAGGAAATGTACCTGGTGAAGAAGCAGAAGGAATGAACTCCAAGAGCTTGCACGCTGAATGCCCAAGAGCAGCTTGAGCACCACATGGTCTCTATCAGGGTACCAAGAGGCCACAACTGACCACTCCAGTGAGAGAAGAAGCTAAGCAAGGTCCCAGATGGGCTGGTAACTGCCTGCTGGTGCACACACACTACTGAAACTATCCAACACAACCATCCTGGGATTGCTTATCAGTGCTTCCCGCATGGAAGCCCACTTCCAATCCACAATTCACTCCATAATCTAGAACTTCCAACCCAAAGGCTGCTTTTCTGCAGTGTTATCTCAGCTGTGAGCCATTACCTGGTATACTGGCGGGCTGATGCAGTAGTGTTCACACCGAGAGATGTGGGGCAGGAAGAGACAGGTTGCCACGGGGTGCCCAGTGAGGTAGATGAACCAGTGGTAGTGGGTGAGGTAGCTAGAGATGTATTGCGACTGGCTGAAATGTAGGGACTGTTGAGGTCACTACTTCTACCAAATGAAGCACTGTAAAACATCACAAAATCACGTCCTTCAGAGCACAGTCAATATTCAACAGAACATCACCCCAGCTGGGCTCTCAGCTGGAAAGGGAGCAAGGATTACATCTTAGCAAAACGTATGGAAGGAGATTAGAGTACCCCGGAGCAGCAGCACCCTCTGAGCTGAGCCCAGCTGAGTTCTGGGGAGAGAATAATGGTGTGGAGATGAATCAGTGAAGATCAGGGAAGAGCAAACCCTCCAGCAGTGAAAGCGGTGCACACGGAGCACCCCTGTGCACTGGGGAAAGGGAGAGACAACGAGCAAGGATGAGGTTGCTTAAAGCAGGGAAGGAGAGAGTGACACAAGCAGGTCTGGCTGCATCACCTCCAAAGGATGCCCAGGACTTCCAGTTTTAAGAACCTGTTTTCATTGGCTTTAAGCTCTGGCAAAGATGATCAGTTTGGGTGTTAATTTTTGCTAAGGCACGTTTGGCACAAACTCTGCATTTCTGGAAAACAGCTGGAAAAACTGCTCAAAAAGTACTACAAATGAGCAAGGGAAATCCATGTCTTGCCAGTTTAAATCAAACCTCTTCAAACCATTCTTACTGAAAAGCTCTAAGTGCTCAAGCGCTCATACTTCAGAGAAGAGACAGGAGAAAAGGAGCAGGGCTCTCATCTCAGGATGTGCCCTGGGGCTTTTCTGGATGAAATCCACCCTCAGTGGGAGAAGCTGCACATCCCTAAATACAGACCTGATGAAATCTGGCAAACTCCTCATCACACGTGCCAGAGCCCCACACACGGGCTGCTCGTTGCGTGCACAGCACAAAGGGGCACCCATGCATGGTGCAGGGCCCTGCCATGCCTTTCCCAGCAACTGATATTCCTGGTTGCTACTGGTCAGTCTGGGCTGTCTGCAGGATTGAAGGCTGGAAGGCTGCCTCTCACCTCCTGCATCCTAATGACTCCCATGCCAGAGCACACGGAGGAAAGTGACTGCACTGGGAACAAAAGCTGACCTAAAGGAAAAGCAGCCTAGAACAAAGAGCTGCAGGTTTATGGGGAAGCCAGGGACAATGGACTGGAATGGGAAGTCAGCACTGGAGTGAGAGTCAGAGACAGCAGCCCAAGGCTGAAATAAAACTTGAAAGAGGCAGGACAACAGCCAAGGCTGGAGGTTGGAGGAAGGATCCAGCCCTATTCACTTAGGCACCCAATTTACACGTCAGTTTTACGTATCAAGGCCCCAGCCAGCCCAGAACAAGCAGCTGGTCCCTAGACAGCCAAAGGAGAGAAAGGGGCATCCTGGAAGGTCTCCATGGGGAGGAACCTTACATCTGGGCTCTTCAGTTGATGGCTGCTTGCCATCTCCAGGTCACAGAGGAGCAAGCAAGTTATTGTCACCAGGTAGCAACCTCCACCAGACCCTAAACAACTGCCCACAGGCAGGAAGTGCTGCTGGAAGCAAGTGCCTCCCTTCTTGGCTTTCTGCACCAAAGGAAGAGGCCAAGCCCTGGAGATGGGCTGGGAGCAAGGTGGGAGCAGGGAGCAAAGCCTGGCTGGGGTGGGTGTGCGGAGCAAGCGGCCGTGAAGAAATGAGCATACAGAGGAGATGATGGGAATGAAGTGTGTGCCAG